TCTAAATGGGAAATTTTAGCCTAACATGTTCTTAAAATCTATGTTCTTATACGCGGGTTTTTACTGTATTTGACTTGCCCGTGAATGTTCGCTCAGCTTATCACTCAATGCCACCGCGATATAAAGTCCGCGATGAGTGAGTTTATTCAGGAAAGGTAAATATTTGAATTAAATTGATAGTAAATATTTTATATTCACACCCATACGCGTTTAACTATACGGGAATTTTCCGCAAGTGTGTACAATTTCACGTCGTACAAAACAATTTTTGTGTGAGGGGTTATATCGAGGACATAACTATGTAATCGGTCGTCACTGTGGCTGACCCATGTAGCCATATATGCATCTATACTAGGCATGCGTATGCTGCGACTGCCGGAATTCAAAACGGAAGTGAGGCCCCCATTGAAATTAGATGTAGTGTGGCGTGTGGCGCTGACGGACGCATATTCGATCCTGTGATGTCGAAAGCCTACAGAGATCGACGACGTAGATGTGGCACTATGAAGCAGGTAGCACCCTCTCCCTACGATCTAGACGTAGCATCAAGAGCTAATAATACATATTATTAGCTCTTGGTAGCATGGATAACCCCTCGGCTACAGCACAGCGCAAGTAAACACGGTGTCGACACGCCTAACGTTTAAGTGCAACGTCAGTATAAGCATGAAGGCAGATAGCCAGCTGACAGTGCTACGCCAAGCGACCTGTGCGCGCGTAGTAAGTGTATGTGCGCGGCCGATGGCAGCTTTTCGGCTGCGCGTGGCCATGTTCGTCGCCACGGTCGTCGTTTCAATGCTGCTGCTCGCACACACGATGAGCCGAGTGGAGCGCTGCGAGCGGAGACAGTTGAGAAACAGGCAACCGCGGCTGCTCAACGTGACGCAGCGACTCGATGCCATGACGTCATCGCCGACGCAGACGCTGCTACGGACACGCTTCGTCGTCGCGTCATCAGTCGACGCGGGCAAAGCGCACGTGACCAGTCCGCTGATTGCCAATCAATCGCAGCTAACAACTCTCACAAACTCGTCGCGCGTCGAGCTGCGGCAAGAGGGCAGCACGGTCGCAAAACAAGTGAACATTGTTTCAGAATCGGCGGTCGGCGGGAACCGATCGCGAGATTCGCGAGAACAGCGAGGGAGCGATGTCGAGAAGAGCAAGCCTCCCGAATCTCGATCCATCTCTGCTGCTGGCAAAGGGGAAGAACACCGGGCACCCACCGCCGCCCGGAACGTCACGAGGTCGTGTGAAGGTCAAGGTGATTCCCTGCCGCGTCATCAGTGCACCGTCGCTACGCAACAACGACCGTCGACGACGACGCTCGCAGCAGCCGACGCCGCGCAACGACGACCGACGGCGACGGAGCTCGCAGGCGACGCACCGCCGCCGCCACCAACGACGCAGCTTGCAGCCGACGCACCGCCGCCGCCACCAACGACGCAGCTTGCAGCCGACGCACCGCCGCCGCCACCAACGACGCAGCTTGCAGCCGACGCAC